CCCCAAAACCCCAAAACCCCAAAACCCCAAAACCCCAAAACCCCTTTTACTGAATACATTATTGAGAGTTAAAAATCGCCAAGCTAATCATCCTTTTCAGGCACTGTGAAAGGCTTGAGGTTTATTGAGTTTCGATACTCGATTTTCACCTCATCATCCTCTATTTTAGGCACTGGAGGTGAGATCTTGGATGTATCAGAGCTGCTTTGGTTTGGGCTATACGACTCAGATTCTGATATTCTCTTTGACTCTTCTTTATCATATCATTTATTGAGCAAATCTATAACATCTTCTTTCCTTCGTAGGAGGCTTCCTTTTCGTGTAAGAGAGTCACAAGACTCTAGCTTTGATCCAGTTGGCAAATACTTCTCATTCTCAGTGAGTAGGCTATCTTCTTCACCTTCTTCCTCCTCTTCTTCACAAGATTCATCTTCTTTCTCAGCTTTTTCCTTGATCTCAAGCACCTTTTGAATATTAATTCTAGGAACAGGGTGAACTTTCTTCGGCTTCTCAGAAACTCTGGCTGAAAGGAGCTTAAAGTCGTCACTTCAGAGGTCATAAGCTTCAAGATCTAGCTTTTCAATAAATTCCTTGAGCTTTCTATCGCCATCCTTGATCTTCTCCTTACTGATTTCGGCATCAATTTTCATCTTCTCAATTTGGGCTTCCTGCTTATTTATAAAAAGTTTTTGAGATTTTACCTTGTCTTCGAAGGTTTCTACTTTTTCGTGAAGAACTTTTGATAGAAATCGTGAGAATACACACTTCTTGACCCAGTAATCATTTTTATGGAGTCTTTCGTGTTCAAGATCGGACTCCAAGATCTTTACTTGAGACTGGAGAGTGGTTACTTTTTGAGCTAATTTATCCTTTTGGAGAGATTCAGCGTCCAGTAAGGACCTCAGTTTGCTGAGGTTCTGACGTAGTAATTCCTTACGTTTTTGCTCATACCTTATAAATTCTTTCATGCAGAGGCTGTATTGATCCTTTATGTAGCTAATATAGTTTGTAAATTTCGGGAATTCAGTTCGATATTCTTTGAGAGATTTTGAGAGCAAATCTAATTTTATTTCCCATGGATTTGACTTTTCAATAGGTGTATTTATGGTTCCGTCACTATCAGAGCTCTTTTCATCTAATTCTTCGATCTTTGTTCTAAGATCACTTAACAACCTCTCTACTACCAGAATGTCCCCATTGTGAGAGTTTCTTGTAGCGTTTTTCTTAACCATTGAGTTAGCATTCGTAGGTAATTTTGAAGTTCGCTTTGTGGTTGTCACCTCCAGAAACGAACTATTGGCTGAAAATGATAGGTTCTATTTACCTCTGTTACTGCTACCGCTCTTGTCATGATCTCTAACACAGTGTCTTGATAGCACATTGGTCTTATACTGGACCTCAGAGGGTTTCTTTCTTCGTTCAATGGCTCTTTTGAGCCTTATTTCTGACAAGTTCTTTGCTGCTTTTGCTAACTTATTGTTAGCTCCTGAAATACCCATATTTGTGAAACTTTCATGATCTTTAAGAGCAGCCTTGCTCTCTCTCATCATCTGTTGGCTACAGGTTATCCAAGCCATTACCTGCTCTGGGACCGGCAATTGTTCTTGCTCACAGCTGTTCTATAAGCATTTTTGGATATAATTTTATCAGACTTCTTCTTTTTATTTGGTCTTCTGCATTCGAGGATGCATTGATCAATTCAGGAAGTTAGCTATATTTAGAGAACTTTGAGTGTAGATATTCGAAGCATCTTTAACACGTTCATGGAACAACTTCTGCTGCTTTGAAGCAGCTCTTCGTTCAATCTTGACCTTTGAGGGATTCTTTGACCCTATCTCGCTATCTGATTTATGAGCACTATCCCCTCTTTTCCTCTTCATATGCAAATGATCAAGAGTGCTAAAGCTATTCGGTATTTCTTGGGAATTCTCAAGCCGAATTGCACTGATGTCAGGCACGATTGTATTCTTCCCCTTTACTTGTGACAGGGCAGACATTGCTCCAGCAATTTTGTTTCTAGAGGAGCTAGTAGATTGAGAAATCTTGTCCCAATTTTTACTCTTACCCAAAGTAGGGTGTCCATTCATATCTCTTATGATCATCATTTCTTCCCCTCGTTTTGATATTTTATTTCCTGCCTAAAATAACAAGAGTAGCTTACTCTTAGCTTTCTTCCTGGCATAATTAGAATTGGCTGATTCTGATCGAGCTTTGAGCATTTTGGCTTCAAGAATTGTACTATCACTTTTGAGTTTATTGAAGACCATTCCTGGGGAGGAGTTATCGCTCTTAGTTCTGGTTATGGACCTATCCTTGGCTGGTGCTTAACGTTAGAGAGAAGGGTTACTCTTGATCGTCCCAAGTGTTGATGACATCTTCCTCACAAACTTTGTATTCCCTCCCAAGGGTTTGTAGAAGGTCCCATCCATTCTTACGATACTTTGAGTTTGAATTTTAGAATTATCTGTAAGTTGAGCTGTGTTTGCTTGGTAGTATCCATGCTTATTTGTTTAACTTGATCGAACTCTTTGGCTTATACCCTGCACTAGTGAAAGTAGCCCCTTTGCTTTTTGATATAAATTTTGTTATATTTTCTGGGGAATAGCTACCTTTAAACTGTTTTTCATCCATTATTTGAACAGACTATTGATTTAATTCAATTATTTAATTTTAAAAAGGGGTTTTGGGGTTTTGGGGTTTTGGGGTTTTGGGG